AGCAGGAAACAAAAGAACAGAAAGACATCGAGCGTCACATGAGGAACATGTCAAACGACTTGATAAAGTTGAATGTGTTGATCAACAAGAAAAACAGCAGCTTCGAGGAGCTGCAATATGGCAACATCATCACAGAGAACGAGTTCATACGCTCACTCAAGGTACAGGGCCTTGACATCTCGGTTCCAAATCTCAGCCTCCCGTGTAGATCAGCGGCAAACAGTGATCCTGTAAGTCTTTCTCAGTCTGACAATATTGTAATGGTTTATGCTTCTCAAATCTAGGTGGCAGAAAAAGAATCAATTGAGATGCAGGAGAGGCACAATCAATTGACTGAGGAGAAGGAAAGACTCCTGAACAGCCTGGTGGAAGCTGAGTAGGTACCAGAGAAATTCTCATTTTGTGCCACAGTCTTTGAGCTTTTTTACACGTGTCCATATTACCTTTCTGAACCAGCAACAGCAAGTGTGCTTCTGTCTTTCTTGGAGAAGATGAAAGGAGTTTAACGAATTTTTGAAACACAAAAACTGAAAGGCTGCTTTTAGCCATCTCAGGAACCAGCGAGAGCTGTGGGGATGTTGGCTCTAACGATTCCAGCATGCTCGTGCTGGCTGTTGCCAAGATCTATATGGGAAGGCTCCTCATGCTCTCTCCTCTGCCAGCAACTCAGAGCGAGAGTGCGGCACTGGGCAATTCGCTGGGCTCCATCAGTCCCCTGCCAGGCTGGGCATGCTTGTTTTTACGGTCATCGTGCCATTTGCTAAATTGCAGACCTTCCTGGCTCATCCCGCACGGCTCTGTTGCTGCCCTTTCACATGTCCTGTACACGAATCCTTAGTTTCTGCCAAAGCATCCATGTCCAGAATCAGTCTTGGGAGTGTGCTGCCGCTGATGCACTGAGGGAGCATCCTCTTTGTTCTTTACAAAAGTGCTGCTTTCCCTTTCTGTCACTGAAGGCATCAAATCATGCTGTGGGAGAAAAAGATCCAGCTGACAAGGGAGATGCGTGCAGCGGTGGATTCTGCGGAAGGACAAGGCGAAATCCAAGCCATGAGAACGGAGATTCATAGGATGCAAGTAAGTCACTGGGAAAGAGAACTGAGAAAGGGAACCTGCATATGACATATTCAGCTGTGGAGCTGCTGAAACGTAAAGCAGGCGATGAGAAACAGCCTGGAGAGGTACCATGTCCAGGGCCTTGGTGGTATGGGAAATCTGACCACCCTGCAGCTGGATTGAATTCAGTCCACCCAGCTGCATGCGCTTTGCACTCCCTGTGCGAGCTACCCAATAGGCTCTGGTGGGCTCTAGATGCACCTGAGAAATCTATTTAAAATATCATGTGTCTGCCACCTGATCCTGTGACCCCAATTTCTAAGCAAAGAGGTTCTGATTGCTAAATGTTGCATCATCCTAATCACCGGTTAGGAAAGTCTTCTATCTTCTGGCAAAGCAACTCCTCCCTCTCATTCCCGGGATACTTCTGCTTTTATATTGCCAGTGAGTTGCTGTGAAACATTTTGAAGGTGACCTTAGATGAGCTGATAATCCAGCCCCCTGCCTTCCAGATGTACCCAGGGCAAACCAGGTTTGGATTTAAAGCAAATTTGGCTTGCCAACGCTCGTGTGTCACATATGTCTGGTTTATGTTGAAGGGATGTGCTGTACAGAAGACTTCAGTTAGGTGCCATTTGTAAATGTTTGTTATTTTCAACCTATTTTTGTATCTTGACAAATGGCAGGTGCGCTATGGCCAGCTGATGAAGCAGCAGGAGAAGATGATTCGTGATATGGAGGTATCTGTTTCTCGTAGAGAGGTGATAGCAGCTCGTGGACAGGGTCAGAACAAAGCAGATAAGAAACGTCTCACCAAGAGTGACTTCCACCGCAAGAAACAGGAGCTGAGAAAGAAGATCAGTGAAACCCAGAAGGTGAGCAAGTGAAGCAGGGCTGCAGGGGTTCACAGAGCCCGTCTGTGTCTTGTAACGAGCACCAGCACGCGCTTAGCGCGGGCACACGGGGTGTCAGGGCACAGACCCTGCGCAGAGATGGCCCTGCCAGGGGCAAGCTTTGGAAACTGGTTTAAAAAACAAAAAAAAAGTTCTGGGAAGGTGGTCAGGATTGCAGCTGAACTGAAGAACCAGTCTGCCACATCCTTCTCTTTGATTTACTAGAACACTCAAGACTGCAACAAAACCATCCTGGAGCTGGAGAGCACCCAAGCATCCCTAAGTGCCACCTTCTCAGAGAAGCAGCAAGAGCTGCGCCGGCTGCAGGCTGAGTCCGACGACCTCGATTCAGATGCAGAACTTCTTTGGAACAGGAAGCGATGGGTGAGCACGTCTGCTTCCATGTGGCCAAGCAGAACCTGCTGCTTTTTTTCTGTGGCCAGCTCCGTGCCTCTTTGCCTCACCACCATCCTGAACCGGGCATGCTCAGCATGTCGTTTTAGCAACACTTTAAGTGTTTTGAGGGCTCATAGTGGTCCTGAACTGACGCTGCAGTTGCACGGTTCCTAGGGCAGCATTCACCTGGAAGCATCGGCCCGAAGAACGTTGTGTCTTGAAAATATCCAGTAACAGAACTAAACGGCTGTCCTCTGTGGGTGCTAGCTGGCTGCTCATAAGTATGTTACAAATTTGGGAGTCAGCTCAAGGTCTTGAATAACCTCCTGTGAAGTTTTTAAGTTGATGAAACTTTCACCTCGAGCAGGGGTTGCCTTATATGTGCAGATATTTCTCTGATTTAGGGAATTGCGTGACATGCAACATTTGAAAATATTTTTTTCCTCTGAGTTGCTGTGTAGGTCTGGTGCTCAGGGACTCGGTTTAGTGATGGACGTGGCAGTGCTGGGTTAACGGTTGGGCTCAATCTTAAAGGTGTTTTCCAACGGATTCTATGATTTTATGCCCGTACCTCTGCTGCTTGGCTGGTGTGATGGGAACTTCAGAGCACTGTCCTCCTTCAGCAGCCCTTCCCTTCCCAAAGGTGGTGGTTACAGCGCCTGGGACACAAATTACATCTGCTTCTTAGTTCTTTCCTATGTGCAGTCCGCTGTCAAAGCAGTTTGTGGTGTTGCTTTTCCCAGAACCTTTTGGAGATAGTGGCCCACCAGACACGCCAGAAGCATCTTCAGGCGCTGAAGGAGGGAAGGTACGCTCCCCTCTGCTGCACCCAGCAGGCCTGGAGAAACGAGCAGCAGAAGCTGCAGGACCGGCTCCGCACCATCGGCACCATCGTCCACCAGATCCAAGAGGAGCATCCTCAGCACCACCGGCCTCTCCAGTGGCTCCATCAGTGCCTGGAATCCAGGCTCGGCTCGCAGCAGGCCTGACAGAGACACAGGCAAGATGCATATAACCATCTGTTCTTGTTTTCCTAGAGGCTACGCGCTTTGTAAATAAATAAACACAAACAAATAGGGAGGTGTAGGGTGTAGTATTTATTAAAGATGTAGCAGTGCACGGGTTTGTTTGTTCCTTTATACATTACGCTGCAAAGGTGCAAAGGGCAATAAATCTTGTGAAGGGTCTGAAGAACGAGCCTTACAAGGAGCAGCTGAGGGAGCTGGGGTTGTTCAGCCTGGAGAAGAGGAAGCTGGGGGGAGACCTCGCTCTCTGAAACTCCCTGACGGGCGGGTGTAGCGAGGGGAGGTCGGTCTCTTCTCGCGAGTGACAAGGGACAGGACAAGGGGGAACAGCCTGAAGTTGCGCCGGGGGAGGCTTAGGC